CGTATTCTCCAAGTTACTATTAAGATTGAAAAGGTTTCTGGATGATGTAAAACTTCAAAACACTAGTGCCTTATCCCGGCTCAATAAAATCGGATAACATTTACGATTCGTTCTTCAGCAGTGAATAGTAGGGGGAAAAACCTAACTTTCTGGCAGTAAACGACATAGATACGGATCGAAAACATCTGTATTTACATCGTATTGCCGCCAGCAGAAAGCCTGTCCGTCTTTTAACCGTATTGTATACATATCATATATTGACTATTTATGATGTGCTACGACTGCTTCGATTCATATTTAATATAATCGTAAACGCGCCATTTTTGCACCGAAGTTATCCGAAATACGCTGGAAATCTGTCATTCACCAACTGGACTTCCACTAAAGGTAGATTCACTCTCGTCCTAATATTTTCAGTTTTACAACAGTGTATGTTAATCTGTCAAATCGTATATGGCTGTATGGGTACTGAAATCTAATCTATGAACATTACGATTTCTTTGGTCAAAGAATCACCTCATATGATCAAAATATAGCTGGGATATTCAATCATTTTCTCGAGTAAACTGACTTTAGGGTTACCCTGTATTTGATAGTAAATTGATATCTTTGAATATGTAACATATTTGTCCAGTATTGTAATAAGATAAGTTAGAGTGAAGTTCTACTTTTGCATGTTTATTTTTATTTTTTTCATTTTCAGCTAATATAAGTTCTGTAATCGCAAATTATGCATAAATTACTTTGGTATGAATTTTGTTAAATTTTTAATTTCTCTGATCTAAAATTCAAATTAGGAGTAGGTTTTACCTCGTGCTAATATTGTCGTTGTTGATTGTTGAAGCATTCGATAATCAGCCAAAACTATTGAAACAAAGACAAGTCATCAAACGACAAGCTATACCTGCCGGCTTACTGCCATATGTAGGTTTGGCTGTTGCTCCTGAAGTTTATGCCGCCTTGGCTGCAGCTTACGGTGTGTCTCTCTTGGTGGAATATGGTATTACCAAGATAAAAGATAATTGGGGTGAGTATATTTTGCAGTGTCTAATATTGATTTGTAGAAAAATGTCAAAATCAAAAATAGAATAAGGAAAGTATCACGACAATAGTATGAACAAGTTGTGGCCACGTATCATCTAAAATGAGCTACGGTTTGCATCAAGAACCGTCAAAAAGCGCCATTAAACTCTGAAAATTATCAATAAAACCAAATAAATTCTGAGATTTATACAAACATAAACTTGTTTATTTTCTTGAATTAGTGTTGTCTGTAGCAATTTTTTTCTTTCCATCGAGTTAAGGCAGTTTTATTTCTAATACTTGCGAACCATCGTAATATAATTCATTTTAATAGAAACGAACGGTCCATGTCGAAATAATCGTGGATGGTGCCGACCACAATGTCAAAGTCATGAGCAAATATATACCGGTCTCGGAAGTGAACACTGTGGAAACAATTATTGTTGCATTCCAAACAATTAATTATTATTGATTACAACTACTAATGACTGTGTAGTTTTTTAATCATATAATATATCTAATATTCCATTTGAATTGAAATAAATCTCAATCGATAAACAACTGAGACTTCAATAGTGAAGTCGGATGAAGTCTTCTGGAATTTTTTGACGATCATTCATTGTTTGGAAAATTCATAAGAAAATTAATGGCATTGTTTGTTTTTTTGGACGACCTCATCTCAGCAGATATGTGAAGCTTTATTGTTTTGCCTGTCTGTAGAAAAAGTTCGACTTTGTTCGAACTTGAAAAAAATCATGATGAACATTTTAATGAGGTTGCTTATTTCTACAAGAAATGTTCCATCAATTCAATACCAATGTGACGAAGAATACCCTGTCTTTTGACCAAGTTACGGTATAGGATGCTGTTATTAGACACCTTTAGGCAGAAGGCCGACCTGATTTAGAGATCTTCTGCTCAATCGCTTGAACTTCCCATACACATTGACTAACTACATACTAGACACATGAGTTAGTGAATGCCACAACGTAGTCAGTATGCTATCGTATGGATCATAGACTGAAACCGAGTCAAGTCGACCTAAATATGCAGGACTCGACTCTTCACACACCTCAAAATAATATTTTTATCGGGTGATGCTAGCAAGGGATTGAAATAATGTTTCGATTGATGTGCACAGTCGAAAGTAATATAATAACACTGTAATTTATTTTGGCGTTTCATGTTGGGTTTTTGTCTACTTCTACTCAAAATGTTTGTGCTCAAATCAAATCACGAACTTTCTCAATGGTTATTCTATATTATCTTCACACCGTCCTCTTCTCATATATTTTACTCACATCAGATGCATACGTGTCATGCACTTCAACGCTTTCAACATTTGATACCCTCAGATCCAGCTTATCCCACGAGAGAATCTATAATTGATGCACATAATAGGGAGTGAGTGAGCAATCGATCATTTAAAGATCCACAAATCTTCGCCAACTAGATTTTTGAGAAACCTAACTAACCTATGCGACTCGTAAAAGAAAACTCTTTTGAAATCTGACAACTATAGTGATGGAGGTAGCTAAGAAAGAAAGAAAAACTGTGTATGTCTACATGAAAACGAAATTATGATCAATAGTGGCTGATGCATTTTTTTTAGTCTATACTCGGGAACTCAACTCGATTCGGTCTATGGTACGGATGATCCGAGACAAACAGTCGTCAGTGAATTGTCCAAGATCATGCTATGTTTGATGGCTTCGAGACTCGAATACAGTACCTTGATAGTATATGCCAAACAAATTAAGTACTCAACCATAGTGACTCTTGGAAACAAGAGAGACTTCGATTTGAAGTCCATTGGTTTTCCCTCAATAAATTCTCTTTTGATTCTTTCTTACGATAAACGATAGAATTAATGGTAAAAAGAAACGCCTTTAAAATATCTCCGGACATAGTATTAGTGCCATTTTTGGGTCTATTGACTAGAAAAAAAGTATTTTAAAAAATGGAAGAAAAAGGCGTGAGTGCGTTATTTCGACTGAAGAGATACTGCACTGAAAGCTTTTTAAACTAAAAGCGGCACTATTTAGTTGAAAATTATTGAGAATCAATATCGTACCATAGAGGAAAATAGTGAAACATAGGTTTCTTTGGAAAATGACCTCAGTCTTGCTTGTTACATTGAATATCGTTTTCGTAATATTCACTGCGTGAATAAAATGGTCAATTGCACGTCAACACTAATTTCCAATTGTGTTTTTTAAAATTTCCACGAGATATATTAATCAAAATGGAAAATGCGCAGACAACAGCTATTCCTATGGCATTATGAAAACCCAAGAAAAATAACATATAATTCAAGCAAACGTTTTATCTACGCATCAAATGTACTATATGATTCGTGCACTTTTACAACAAGACATCATCTATAGCATATTCTCTAATCGAAATTATTCAATAACTAACCAAATTCTTGTTCCAGAGTAATTTTACTGCGGATCAGATGCTTAACAAATCATTCAATGTGAAAGACAAATTCAACTATAAAATATCAACGAGATCAAAAAAAAATTCGATTAAACTCTCCATTCAAAGTTTACATTGCGCATGCTGAACTTTAAAACGCGTCGGATGGATGCTTGAATCTTTCTCCTATAAACTTCTCCGCACAGCCTCAAATATTATAGTATTAGAATGATCTGTTTTCGTCTTCCAATCATAACGTTCACTTTTCAGCGATGTTAGTCATCTGACGAATCTCTTAGCAGGAAAGAAGAAGGAGAGAGTATGTCATTTTAAACAACCGTTCTCTTGAAAGGTATTAGATATTTAATAATAAAGATATAGTATTTATGAGGGAGTGCATATCTATGTGTCCACGCATTGAGAAAATTTTCACAATTTGTTCCTTGAAGTAGTCAGACAGAGTAGACCAACCATTATTGTAGGCAACGTACGTCCAATCGTCGCCAATGCAACGAATTCGATGGAGAACATTTATGGCTTTTCTTTTCGACCGAACATTATAAGCAATCGTGGCCAGGGATGATGAAGATACATTTGGACTAATTTGAACACGCGAAATGTAGGCTAATTTTGAGGCATCTTCTTCGAAGATCACGGTTACGTCCGAAGTTTGACTTGGGGTAAGATAGATTGAATTGGAGAGAGTTGTACCCGAATTCGTTACAACGGTATGGTAATTGATGAATCCCTTCCTTGACTTCACGTAACGATAGGCATTGATATAGTAGGAAAAATGAGCGGAAAGATCAGAGACTGCATCGAAGAAAATGCCATGTATGAAAACAAATGCCCCGCATTGAGATCATCTGGAATAGCAAACCACTTGATCCTTAACGGATTCTAATGGCATCTTGATATAATTTGTTGATACATATCCAATGATACGAACACTGTCAAGGTTTCGTAATTGTTGAATCCCCTGCAAATAATCTCGGTTAGGACAGGCATGAGCTTCTGATCCACTGTTTGAATTGATCATAATAATCTTTGAGACGTTCGGATATTTTTGAATGATTGTGATGGCTTGACTCCATTCGGAAAGCGCCAGATAGATATATATCGGAATGATCAGAGAAGGTTCGTGCTCTACAACTTGAGAAGTAATAAAAAGAATGAAGAGCATCGAATAAAGCAAGCGACAATCAAAGGAAAGATGAAACATTGTTGCGGCAAATAGAATCTATGGTGTTTTTATTTCAAACTGAATCTTGAAAAAAAATGACACTCGTTTTTTTTCGAGTACGAAGATTTTAGAGGATTTAAGAAAAAAGCGAAAACGCTACATATACGCCATGATAATTGTAATTTGCCTATGTTGTCATAGACAGTATTCTGAATAGTTATTATGTTCAATAGTCGAATTCATTAATCTTTAAAATCTATAATCCTTAAATACGAACTATAATGAAAACCTTATCGATTGTTTATAAAACCAACAAAACAAAATATAATAAAAGTTCTGCTTAATAATTAGAAAACGCAAACACATTTTCCCACTAGATCAATGGTCGCCGTTCCCATGATGTTTTATTGTCTACAGGTGAAAATTCAACGAATGTTTTATCGATTTCATTTACTGTAGGCATTAAATAAAGACCAAACCATTCATCAATAACATCTTCTGTATAAAGTTCCGTTAAACGACGATGTAATGTTTTTTTAACTGATAATAATTCTTTTTCTAAAAATCTTAATTCAGATAAACGTGAATGAAGTTCATGACGACGTACAAATAAATATTTTCGATTATATTCTGGTGCAATTGTATTCAAAATTTTTAAACGATTTTGAATTCTTCGAAGATGTATAGATAAAGATGAAATACCTGACCAAATAGAAAGACCTAAAAATAAAATTTAATTCATATAAAAGACATGTATATGAATCATTTAAGACAAAACGGAACATATCCACTTTTCATTTGACCTTAATTCTTTATCAAATTAATTTAAAAGTAAATAGATGAAGTCTCCTCTCTAACCATACGAGAAATAAAAATCCGAAAATTTTCAGGATAGACTTTACAGCACAAATCGTATCTGTGGTGAAAGGATCTCCCTGAATTTGGTGGTCTATCTTAAATTAGGATGCCACATATGTGATTTTATACAGTAAATTGTGCTTGAGAAATATTATAAGATATTCATAGCAAATGTCAACGTAAAAGATTCTCGTCTTGTACAGATCCTATCAAGTCCCGAAACAAATATTTATATCTTGCCGTCAATTAGAGATTCTGAAGAAGGATTAGTACTGATTGAAATAGGTGTTTTGAACTTTTCATTTGATGATAAGAGCATTTTTTCCTTTTGTATATTCGTACTCTGTCACGTCACTAACGCTGATTTTTTCAAGATATTTAGAGTAACTTAACATATATGTAGTATATACAAATTAACTCGAGAACTCTTTTTATAACATAGTACCTGGTAATGATTCACATAATTGTGAATCTCTATGAATTGATCTTAATAAATCTTCACAATTATGAATAGAATCATCAACAAGAAATTTATCTGTATTTAAAATATATAAACTATATATAAGAGATGGATAAGCTGTTGGTAATAAATCACATAATGGCATAAAATGATCAAATCTTGACCAACCAGTAAGTATAATAGCTGAAAAAGAATCTTTTCGAAAATCTGATGATGCTATAAAATGAAGCCATTCACGATTATTTAACACATGATGTGTTGTATTTGTTATCATTGAAAAACGATGAAGACCACCTTTAAATGCACTTGCAATCCAATTATTTATAAAGAATTTGGGATAGGTTTGCCATGCACGTGAAGACTTATATTGATTATTAAATGTTGGAAAATAGTTCCATGAAACAGGTTCAACAAGACCTTTTAGTTGATTAAGCTAAAAAAAATATATTTTTGATAGTTAATCGATTTCTAAGAAATATTTCTTTGTCAATTTACATAGAATTCAAATAATTGAAATCATATGTATAAATGAAAGCTTAAACTAACCTTCTTTAAAGAATTCCATCCTTAAATTGTTCAACTTAAACTTTTCTCATAAATAAATTCCAAAACAGAGCCATCGTGATTGGCTCAAATTTGAAATAGGTCGTTTCCGAGCCTGAAAATTTTGAACACGATGAGCTCTACGATTTGCAATACTGAGCTCTAAGGTACGAATAGACCATCGAGCCTGATTACCTGCTTATCATTTTTCTTCTAAGCTTTTTAAAAAAAAATTTGGTTATTTCCTGAGAAAATATTGCTATGAAAAATTTACAATGGAGAATATTTGCTGCTTAAAGCTAAAATAATTTTTTTTTCGTTTTGACTAGCTGCAATCATGTCAAATAATACATTGAGATCAAGACTAAATTGTTCATTATCTGGATATGTATTCGGTTTATTATCTCTTTTTGGTTAAGGTTCTGTTCGTACTTTATAGTCCGTTATTTTTATTATTAACCCCTTTCGTTTCACATAATACACCAAAGAATTGAATGATAATATTTTGCTCATAGATTGACCTATGTGTAACTAGAATGTTCTCTTCATGCAGCATAGATTTTTCAAAACTCATTCGTATTCAGTGAAAGATTCAAGAATTTCATGTTTATTTTTGAGAATTCAATATCTCGCCAAGAGAACATTCCAGTTATACACAGATGTTAGAATTATTAACTGTAACATATGTAATGATATTTTCTGTAAATATCTTCTGAAGAAAAGTTTCTACAATGAAAAAAATAATCATTCTTATTAAATCTTACCAATTTGCGATTGTTAACAAACTGATCAATTCGAAGAATATCATCCCAAACAAGTACACGAATTCCAGGTCGAATTTTACGGACAATATTAACAATACGTCGAATATGACTTTAGAATAATGAATAGATTTTTTTCATTAATCTTTTTTTTTTCATACTCACTTAATATATATTTCAGATATGCTCATATCTGTTTCAGGACATGCAGGATTAGAATATTTTAAAATAACTTCATCACAACCAATATGAATTATATTACTATCAAGATGCATAACAAGTGTTTGTTGTAAAAGATCTAAATAGTTTAGAAATTTGCAGAAAAATTTTGTTCATAAAAAAGAAAATTTAAAACTAGCCTTCAAGTAAAATATAAGTATCATTAAGACATGGTGATATAACCATTGGTAAATTTAAATCATCACGATATGATTTAAATCTGTCTAATTTAAGTATCCATTCTAAATGACCAAACGTTTGAATAAGTGGAATAATTTCAATTCCATGCTTTTTTGCAGCTTCTTGTATTAGTGCAATATCCGATTTTGTATAAGCGCCATGATGCGAAATCTTTAAATAAAAAATTTCTTTATTTTCAATTGTTCAGAGTTTTGCGACAAGTCAGATTGATGAGCTCGACAAACCCGCTACTTGGCATACTAACTACGATAGTTGCTTCTTATAGTTAGGTCGATACGCACGATGATTATTAGGGCTCGTTGGGTCCAACATCTTTCAATAGAGAGGGTGTGGATATGTGATCTCTTCAAGAGTTTGTGTTTTACTGCAACAAAATTATTCATTATGGGGCATTCGTTACTTTGTTTTCTGATTTGATACTATCGATCAAGGTTGAGACAATTCTCAGGGGAAGTAGCTCCCCAATCGTTAAAATATTTCGTTTTTCTTCAGCGAAGTTTCAGCATTTTATTGTTCTTTTTCTTGTCACTAATCTCCAAAAACGAAGCCATCCGTCCTCCATCACCGTAAAATTCAGTCAATTTTAGCAAAAATGTCCCAATCCCGATGATCTTATCAGCGAATTTCGGTTCGAGATTAACCTTACGGGCTCTATGGATCACACACTGAATCAATAGTACTAATGCAGGATCCTACAATAGTTTCATTTTTTTGTTTTGTTTATGCTTACATTCACAAGGTTACCTTGCAATGGAAGTGTATCTTCATATTCAATTAGAACACCTTTTATTCCCATTTGTAATTTTTCCAGAAAATTAAAAAATGATTCATAAAATTTATTTGCTTTTGGTGGTGCACCTTTTAAATCTAGATGAATATATTTCGCTAAATCTGGTCGACCATAATTTAATTGTTCTTGTACTATATCATTAGATTTTCGATTATAAAATGCATCTTGTGGTAAAAATGGATTATCAATTGCATTTTCATAGAAATGTATTCGATTGTTTGATGTTGATGACCATCGTAAGTAATATGTTAAAATAATAATAAGAAATAATAAACAAATGGCAAGTTGAACTACACGACGTACTTTTAGAAATATTATTTGACCAAGTAATTGTGGCATAATCAATAGATATTTATTATTATAATTGCTATTAAAGATTTTAGAAATAAAATTTCAAATTTGATCAAGACAAAAGAATAAATACGAATTCGATTAAGCACAAAACGTATATTTATTCGATAGAAAAAATTTCATAAGATGATGTCGATAACAAATTTTATTCTATACGCCTTATTGAAGAAGCAATGAACCGTGAAATATATAACAAAAAAAAAACGTGACTGGTTGAATGTTTCATAGATATATTTGCATAGAAATTCATCTTCTATCCATTTTTTGTCGCAGTTATTTATCAATTCCTACAAGATTCAATGATTAAATCAAACGAAATTTTATATTAAAGATTTTGTGTATTCGACACTTTAATGATGTCGCAATTAATCATGTCCGTTTTTGAAATATGGTAATAAATTCTGTAAAATTTTTTCCGATTACAGAATTAAGGATAAAATCATTATGCTTATTTATCTGTTCTTTATTTTTTTTTTTATTCATGTTCTCATATAAAGTCATTCATGATCATAATCGAAAAAGAAAAAGAAGGAGACATGAAGAAAGTATATTTTTTTTTTAAAGAATGAGGAACGTCGCGTGCAGTCATTACCTACAAATATAATGCTATTTGTTAAAACATGTATTTTGTTTTTTGTTTTGGATGACGAAAAGAAGAAAAAGATGACAAGATGAAAGAAAAAGAAAGTATAGACACACACACATATAAAGAAAAATATGAAAAAAAATGTTCACCATCCTAATATTTTGAAAATATTTGTGATGCAATATGATCCGAATAAGTTCAGTATGTATTAGTTTCCTAAACTTCATGTGCATATTTTTGAGTCCAATCACGAGCTAAAATAATATAGAAAAAGAAAGTTATATTTTTCTATATACGACTACTTCAATTATTAATTATCATTATGCGTATATGATGTCCTCTATAAGTATCATAGATTAATTCGATGGCAAAAAATACTGTTATTTGATTATTTCTTAATTTCAAAACGGAGAACAATTTTTATTGATTTCAACAGATACCTTTGATTGTCTTATTTTTAATTTTTCATCTATGGATATCCACAAGAAAGACTGCTTTATTTACAATTGTCTGTCCTCAGAAATTTAATCAATCACGGTCATCGATAGCTGTTAATCATGATATGTAAAACTCTCTTTCCGCATTCAATATAATTTGACATTTGAATGTATTAACATAGTCCGTTTCACAATTCAATTAGAAATGTTTGATATGTTGAAAAAAAATGTTATTTTTGAGAAAAACATTTTCAAAAGAAAACTTAATTTGATTTGTTTCTAATCACGAGAACATAAAATTTCTTCATCTTACCCATTGATTTTGCTCCTTTTTCATCAGCTTTCCATTTTTCAGCTACATCAGCATCCAAAAAATCATCCGGATTAGGTGCACTTAATAGAGCCTGAATAGATAAAAGAACAGTACGAATTTGTAAAGCTGGACTCCATTTTTCTATAAACAAATAAGATTAAAAAAAAAAAGACAAAAAGAAAAATTATCTAATATTTTATGTACCTTTGAGAATATCTAGACAAATTCGTCCTAGTTTATCAATATTGGGATGATAAAGTTTTGTCATAAAACGAACTTTAGGGGGCGCCATTGGATATTCATCAGGTAAAAATAATTCTACTTTGAATTTACCACCTTCATATGGACTCTAAAAATAAAATAAAATTCTGAAAAATTCAAGTTATTTCATAATTACATTATTACCTCACTTGGTCCATCAATAATAACTTTAAAATAACGAGCATTATGTTCATCTGGTGTTGCAATGATACCCGGTACTGGTTCTTGTTGTAATCGAGCACTTTCCTAAAGAATAAAGTCTATCATAAAATTCATAGAAATCTTATAAATATACCTTAACAATACGTTTAGTCAAAGCTCCGTTGTCATTCATTTTTATATGTCTTTAATAGAGATATAATGTATTAAATCTAAATTAATAAACATAATCAATTGTCTTTCTATTTTGACTTAATAATTTTTTGTATAAGAAAAAAATTTAACTGATTTATTAGTGGAGAACGTTTGTTGTTGTTTATCTTGTTTTTTCTGTATGATTAAAAAAATTCAGCGACATCTATGATAAAAATATCACTAGACATCGTTTATCGAAATTTGATATAACACATTCAGTGTCGATCACTGTTTTCGTAGTTATTGCAATTAATAACGATTGATGATTAAATAAAAGAGGAAATATTGAAGATTGATTAATATAGGTAAATTATGGATTGATATTTAAGTCATAGAGCAGTGTAAGCAAATGATATTATAGATTTTGAAAAACTTTGATGAATTAACTTAATTCTAATCACTGATCGAACCATAAACAATCGTTTTTAGAATTTCTATAACGTAAAATCTACCTTAAAGACTATTATTTATGTTTGTCAGCATGTTCTACAAAGAGAGAGTTGTAATTGTTTTGTTTTCAGTTTTCCTCGAAAATCCTACTGATTATTGATGTATCTTCTTGTTTAAATCTTAATAAATCATCTATCTATTATTGTTTTTCATCATTCAGATCATATTTATGTAAATTTCATATAGAAAAATCTTTATTGTTATATTTAACAGTTTGACTTTTTAATAGGTAAAACATATTTTAAAAGTAATAATAATTATTGATCAATACTAGTGACACCTTATATTATAAAATATAAAATTCGATTGGCTATTTATTTTATTACCTGTTGCTGCCATATATTTTATGCATCATCAAACCGAGTCTACTTGAATTATTTTTGATTTGCAACCTTGATATTTAATTTGTATCAAAGAAAGTCAATGTGCTCAAGATATCTCCTATATGATTAAAGTAATCTTTTCTGGTATTCGTTTAGCAATTGTTTTACAGTGAATATGTGGTAATATTAAAAGTAGTTTTCTCCATGAAGAAAAAGTTTTTCAACTTCTCATATTATATAATATCAGAAGATGAGACACTTTTTTCTATAGTGGAAAAACACTTACTTTAATGTCGCCATATCATACGATAGAACATCTGCTAAATGAAATACATCCCTGGGTTTTTTTATATTTTAATTTCGGAAAGGATTCAATAAATAATATTATTCTTTGTCTGCTTGTACAAACTCTCTAGAAAAATATATTATTTTAGATTTGCATTGAAAAAAAAAGCACTGTATGGCTTCGGCTTTAATGGAGGCTGAAGAGCCATCAATTTCTTCAGAAAATGCTCGAATAGCTGGTCTTGAATCACAAATTCTTAATTCACAAGAAATCATAGTACGCCTAAATCGTGAATTAGATAGTGCATTACTTCGTATAGCAACACTTGAAAATGTTTGTTCAGAAAATCAAAATGATCTTCATGAAAAACGTAATCGTATAAATCATTTAAATGATGAAATTGATGAACGAGAAGAAATGAATGAACGTTTAAAACAAGAATTATATGAAAAAGATGAAAAATTAAAAACTTTAGATAATATAATTATTCAACTTAAACAACATATTAAACAAGAAAAAGTTGATAAAGAACAACGACAAATACATGAAAATATGCATTGTCAACAATGTCAATTTTTACTTGATGAATTTGGAAAAACAACAGAAAATATTTCAATTGCTAATCTTCATTCTCAAATTATGTTTGATAGACAATTATGTCAACTTGTTCTTCATGATCTTGGGGATAAGAATTATTCATTGAATAATTCTCCACAAATAATTCTTGATCAATATCATAAAAATGAACGTTTAAAATTTCATGATCTTCTTCAAAAAAGTTTAATAACAGAAAATATTTCTGATCTTATTGATTCTGATGATATTTTATTTGAATTATTAACACATTTAAATAGTCTTGTTCGTTTAAAAGAAACACTTTCACAGGATAGTAAACAATTACAACATATTCGTTCATTACTTCATTTAACAAATGATAATAATGATGAATTTATTAAAGATTTAATTAATAAACATGAATGTATAGAATATTTACGTACTAAAATTGATAATAATCATAATTTTACTGATTATGATCTTATTAAACATATTTTACATGATTATTTTAATTTTCAACAACAACAAATTGAAATGAAAGAATATTTACATTTAAATATTGATAATAATAATGACAATGCTTTAAATTATACAAGACTTTTAATTGAACGTTGTAGTGAAGCAATACATGTTCGTACGTTTATTATTAAAATAGATTTCTATATTTTCTTTTTCTTTTTCTTTTTTATTTTAATTTAAAGGTTGGAACAGAATTAAATGAACGTATTAGAAATCATGAACAAACAATTGAACAACTCACAAATCAATTAGATGAACATATTAATGAAATAGTTGAACGACGCAAACAAATCGATGAAATTGTTTCAAAGTTTTATAATAAATCAATTGATCAAGATACAAATGAAGGTTAGAAGAAAATACGAAAGAAAACAAATTATTTTATATGTTTTTAGTTACTCAATTGGATCATATTCGATCAATACTTCAATCAGATGCTGATTTTCGACATGCACTTGCATCTGAAACTTTCGTAACATCAAATGAAGATATTCTTGAACGTGTACGTGAATATAAATCAACTTATGAAAATCATCGAATATTAACTGTAAAAGATTCTGATCAAGATCAACAATTAATAATCGATGAACTTAAAAAACAAATTCATGAATTCAAAGAAGAAGCAAATCAGCGAAAAAATCAATTAAAAGAAATAAATTTGTTCTTGCAATCAGATATAGACAATGGTATGTTTAAATATATTAATTTTATTTTTTGATACTAAAAAACTTTATTTCAGAAGAAATGCAATTCAATCTTATTCATTCATTTCTTAAATCATCCAATAATTTTCGTCTTGCTTTATCCAATAAATTATCCGTGGCAAATAATAACGAATCAATATTACAACGTATTCATGATTATCAATTAATTATTAATCAATTAAATTCTAATGAAAATCATTGGACAAATGAAACAACTGATGAATTAATTACTAAATTAAAAACCATAGTAAAAATATTTTCAAATTAAAATTTTTTACTTCTAATTTCATTCTATAGGAGAACGCCGAAAATCTTGTTAAAGATCTACAAAAACAATTAAATGAATCAATTCATCAGGAAAAACAATTACAAAATGGTATCAAAGAAATTACTGATCGATTTATACCGAATATGAATCACACGGAAGGTACGTCCTACTCTCTTTCACGAACCAATGACTTTTAGTCTCGATCGGAAAGAAAATTTGGTTCCGGTTTCGGTGTAGGCAAAGCCGAGATGGGAATCATCTTACCTATTTCTTGAAAACTTGCCGTGTTTTCTCAGTGAAGTTTTCATTTCATAAATAATCTTTTAATAAATAGGATCAAATATAACACATATTCATCAGTTACTGGAATCTTTAATTAATTTTCGTCAAAAACTTGTTGACAAAACACAAATGACTACAGACGAAGATATTTTAAATTTATTTCAAAAATATCAAGAAAAACAAGGTTTGTCTTTTTCGTCTATACTATTATTTCATATATAACTTTTGCTCTTTCATATATAGATGTTGAATCACAAACAACAGATAATGATAATTTTTATAATCAAATTAAAGAACTCACTGGTACAGAAGTTGATAATCCAGAAGAAATAATCAACAAAATCAAAGAATTTTCTCAATTAGTAAAATTATTGAACCGAAAAAAAAAAATTATTTTCATGAAATTTTATTTTATAGCCTTCTCCAGCTGTAATCGACGAATTACTTTCGGATAATGAAAAACTTCGAAATTTATTAAATATTGAAGATGAAAAGTTTCATCAATTAAAAGAACAACATGAAAGACTTATTCAAAGTAAACAAACAAATGATTCCTATTTATTATTTCTATTACTTTTATTTAGAAGAAAATACGTTTAATGAAAGTCTTGAACAAATGATGAAGAAACTAGGCTTATCTTCAGGTAAATAATTTAGTTTTATAATAAGAAATTTTTAATATAATGTTTTTTTTATTTTCAGATGCATCACTTCAAACACGAATTGATGAAATTTGTGCAATATTTGATACATTTTCTATGGAATATATTCGATTAACATCTACAAATGTTAAAACAATGAATTTAATTGAAATATTTAAACATATTCAATTAGTTCTTATGGAGAATAATCGATTAAAAAACTTAATTGATCAAATTGATTTTGATGAAGTATGAAAAACTAAATAAGAAAAAAAAATTCGAACTATTATGATTCCTTATTTTTGTAGTCATCAGATAATTTGGATTTCATATCTAAATTACAAAAATATTCAACAAAGGTTGATAATTTATGTCAATTAATTTGTAATGATGATAATGTTAATATTGATCAAGCATTGGTTATATATCAAAGAAATATTGAACATGATCAAAATATCATTGAAAAAAGTAATATTTTTTTTCCGATTAATTCAAAAGTTACATAAACATAAGATTGCATGAAAGAAAATTTTTTATTCGGCAGTCTCTACTTTGATCCATCGATTACCGGGACACTCAGCCTTTCTCACTGTAGAATAGAATTCAAAGAAGTTCATGAAAGGATGAAGTTTTGTATTAATTGACATACGAAATATGGTTTTTTGTTATCGATACTATGATATGTTTGTGCAACTCTGACCCTATAATGAAAGGTCATGGATCTAGTTCAGAATAGAACTGTCAGCTTGGCCTGATCCATTTATATCATATTGAACAAGACAAACAAACCAGGTCATAATTCGTCAGAGAATGGGTTCAAGTCATCTCTTCACACATAGTCATTCGCACTCCCATTATAATAAGTTTATAGAACTTAGTAGATTTAAGGGTACCCCCCTCTTTTTTTGACCATTTCTGATTCTTGAAGACGGTACGACCGATCAAGCTCAAATTTTCAGCACAGATAGAGCATCAAGAATAACGAGATACGTGTTCGAGGAAAAAAAATTTAAACTAAGTTTTTTTGGGGTTTTCAGGAAAACTCTGGTTTTTCAGAGGTCCGCATCCTGATACATTACGACCCCCCTTAAATTTAGTCCGATTGGGCTGAAATTTTGTTTATAGATACTTAACACTATTCCTCAGAGGTAAATTTAAGGATTTCCAAAAATCNCAAAAAGGAACACGCTAGATTTCACCTCCGGAGAACACTTCCAAGTATTACTGGTAAAAATTTCAGTGCGATCAGACATAATTTAAGGAGGGTCGTAATGTGTCAAGATCGAGAAAATCGTGATTTTGAGATACGCTAAGAAAAAGAAAACAATTTTCTTACGATTACTATGAAAAAAAAAATTTTTTTAATTCAGCAACTCTGTAATAGTAAGGTATTTAGAGCCGCTTAATGTGTCTAATTGTACACAACACTTGAGGCTATGGTATCTTATGCTCAACTCGAAATCGAGTTTTTGATCGAAAAAGAGAGGGGGGGGGGATACCCTTAAAATAGTAAAACCATCAGTCTGCCTGATTTGCGCTGCAGACCAGGCCGAGTCAAAGTGGCTTGTAAATATATATTCATTTATTTTAGTTTCTAATTTTAAACAACAACTTCTAACACGTTTATCCATTGATAATGAAGAAAAAATCTTCGATCGTCTTTCTGAAATAGAAAAAATTAATGTTGATTTGAAAGGTATTTATTAATATGTTAATCTTTCGGGTAATATTTTTTTTTCTTTCAAGAAAAATTACAAAATCATAATGATACGAATAGTACATTAACTTCATTAAATATCACAATATCTGAACAACGTAATCAAATACTCGAACATGCAGAAACATTAGAAAAATTACGAGCACAACGTGAACGAATGTTAAGTAAAATGAAAGAAATGAAAACAAATAATGAAGAATTAACAGATCAGGTAAAATATTTCTCTAAAACAAAATTGAAAAAAACAAAATCTTTTTGTCTTCATAGCTTAAACAAGTTAATCAATGTCTTGATGAATTTCATCGAAAAGAAATTGATTATAAAAATCAAATCGAAGAAATTGAACAACAATTACGTAGTGCTAATAATCAAATACAAGTTACATTTGATGAATGTCAAACACAACAAGAATTACAAGAGACAATGAAACTTGAAATTGAATCAATAAAAGTTTATTCATTATTTTTTTTTTGTTTTAATAAACTTATTTTGTTTAAATTTATTTTATTTTGCTTAGAATGAAATGGATACACAAAGAAAATTATATGAATCTCGATGTCGTCAAATAATGCATGAAAAAAATCAATTAGATAAAAATAAAAAAGAATTATTTGAACAAAAACAAACGCTTGAAAATGAAAATAAACGATTACAAACAATTCTTCATACAATCAAAGGTTTTTTGAAGATTTTTCTTATTGATTTCTTTTTCATAGCTTTAAAATTTTTAGATACACTTGAAAATGTTGATGATTTTAATTCAATTGTTGATACAATTTTAAAACTTCGTCAAGATCATTTAACATTTACAAATGAACTTAGTCAACATAAGGATCATATGCATATAGAAAATGAAAAATTATCATTAAATATTCATCAACAACAAAGTATAATCAATGAATATATACAAACAAAAAATGATTTAGAAAAACGTTTATTTGATAATGAACAACAATTGATAAATTTAAAACAAGAATTAAATGAAAAAAATAATCATTATCAACATTTACAAAATGAATATCAATTATATAAAGAAGAATATTCAACAAAAAAAAGTCAGATTTTAATTTTCTAAGAATTTCTTTATAGAAAATATTTATCTTATAATAGATTCACAAGTAGCAATTATTGATATTGAACAATCTTCACCATCACAACCACATCATTTACCTATTCAACAAGCAGCTGAATTAAATCATTGGTTAGTTGTAAATACATTGTTCAATTGAATATAGAACATCAGGATCTCGATCATCTCATTAATCAATAACAGAGAAGATTTTTAGAACTTGCAAAATTTTTTTTCAAATAAATGTACAAAATCTATGTGACCTAGAAATGTGCAAAGTTACTCTATCCTATAGGGAAGATATTGATGTTTTAAAAAGTCGAAATCTCAATGATAAGACATCTGACGGTTCAGAACTTTTTCTAAATGCTAGTCTTCTTCAGGCATATTGACAAATTTTCAAATAAAAATTTGAAAATATTAATTCTGCTGAAAATTCAGAATCTTACAAAGAAATTCCAATAAAATTTCTTTGTTTCATTCAAATATTCATAGAAAATAGTCAATTACAATTAAGTTAATTATTTTCTTTTAATGTTTCTTTTACGAACTATTTTCGTATAATTTAGGATGACAATTGATGTCAAAGATGAAGAAACTGCATTGACAACGGCAAACAAACGTAATATTACTTTGCCTTAACCACTGAAAACTAATTAATTAAATTTACTTTAGATTCCACAATTGATACACCCACCGCATTATTAAATTTATTAGGTGAATTAAAAAGGTAAAATCTATTTGAAAGACAGGCATCTATGAATTTTTTGACTACTAAGTCAGATATATGTAAGACTGTAGGGAAAGACTTTCTTTATAATTCTACATACATCTCGTTCTTTAGTCTAATCCTTATAGTTGCCTTTTAAAAAATTAAACAATATTTATATTTCTTCTTTTTTGTCTAGTAAACTTGGTATAACATTAACTCATCGTCCTCGTTTATCATCAGTATATTTTATTTATTTATGTGCTGTTCATTTGTTAACTATTTATTTATTATTTATTCGTCATTGTTAATGAATTTTAAATTTTTCTGAATCTCTCTTTCTCTTTCTCTCTCTCTGTTTTATTTCATCATTAAATACAGTGCTAATTATTTTTTTTAAATCAGTTCGTTATATATATATATGTATATATAATTTAATTTGATAAATTAAAATTAATTAGAGAAATAATTCGATGAATATTTTGAAAGTATCGAAAGAAATTGATTTATGCTTTATCATACTCTTACATATTTAAGATTGAAAAAAAAATGCCATTAGTCTTTCGTGAAATTCATGGTGATCTTTTTTCGGCTTCATCAAATACATCGCTTGCACATTGTGTTTCAAGAGATATGAGTATGTCGAAAGGCATTGCAACATTATTTCGTGATAAATTTGGTCAAATCAATGAACTAAAAAAACAAAGTGCGTTTCTAATTCGAAACCAAAAAAGCAAATCCGAGATCAAGCAGTCATTGTAGATTCATACTCGAATGAAAATCTGTTCGATTTATCAAAACTTTAGAAAAACTTTTTTATTGTTTATGTTCTATATATTTGTTTACATAGATGTACCAGTTGGAGGTTGTGCTTATATTACTGCAGATGATCGTTGTATTTTTAATTTGGTAACAAAAGAAAGATATTATTATAAACCAACAATGGCTACATTAGAATCAAGTCTTCGAGTAATGCGAGATTTATGTATTGAAAATAAGATTCATCATTTGGCAATGCCTCGGATTGGTTGTGGATTAGATAAACTTAATTGGAATGAAGTATCTAAGCTAATTCAAGATATATTCAAAGAAGATGATATTGAAATTATGATTTATACTATCTAAACATTCATTTTAACAACAAAAATTCTTATTTTCAGCCAGATTCTTGTTATCGATGAAATATGTTTTTTTTTAATATCAACTTTACTGATAAAAATAAAGGAATGAAATTCTTACGATCATATTTTTTTAAACAAAAGAAGAATACTGATATTTTTCAATGTAATGAATATATGCAATGGAATCTAGTTGAATTGGTATAGTATTTCTAAGAAAATTTCTCTACATGTTGATTGGTGTTTGACAATGTGAGTGATCATCAAAAATAAGCGTGCTGTCGCTTTTTTTTTTCAAAATCAAATACGTAATCATCATTTTACCGCTGATGACCGTAAAGTTAAACATATTATCAAATAAATCTTCAAATCTTAAGAAGAAAGTCCTCTAACTGATAAATCTCTTTTGAATCATGGTTATGTACATTATGTGAATCCAAACAAGCTAAGAATACCCTGAAAGGAATTCATGACTTTATCTCCTTACTGCGAAAATAATGCAATTTTATGGTATTTTATAAATGAATGTCATGATAATTGATTTTCGAAGTTCGACTTATATAAACCAGCAGATTTTACTTAGAGTATACAATTGCATATAATCGATTTGTTGAAAGTATTTTTCATATAATTTTTGATTAAAAAAATTCATCATTTCGGTTACGGTAATATCATCATCAGTTACACTTTAATATAGTAATTTATTACCTCCAAAACAATGTTTCGTATCTTTTCTAAAAAGAAAATATCTAGTCAAATACTCTTTAAAAACCTGGCAGATATGAAAAGACAAAGATCATCGGCTAGCGTTCAAGACATCAAAAATCATTATGACAACATCCAACTATATATTTATAAAGATGCTTTTATTAGTCTGCATCAGAACGTATCATAATTATTACGTATATACTCACCTTATTCTACCGGTAAAGTACAACGTATTTTTCAAATGCTTGATCTAATTAATAAACTTTGTCAATCAAACGATCCGCGTAATCACTATGTAGAGTGCTGTAATCAAGCAGCTCAAATCTTAGATTAACTCTGTCCTGTGGCATTTTATCTGTTAAAATCACTATTTTTAGTATGTTCCTATTTCAGGATAGAAATAAATCAAAAGATCTAAAACTTTCACAATAACCTATTCTCGTTAAAGCTTGTTTCTATGCAAAGTTTCAAGTTAAAATTCAAAATTCAGTTTTCCTGTTACCACGGCATTCATACCTCATATCGGCCTGTATAATACCTATAATCACACTCGCTAGTAGTTGAGTTTTTATTCTTATGTTTTCAATTGTCTATTGAAGTTGTTCGATAATGTGTTACGCAGAATCTGAACTAAATCCATTCATCTTAAACAGTCTGTTTACAGCTTGTGAGCATGCTCAAAAAAAGTTAATTCTTTTTTTTTGTCTTCATTTTAACATTATCAGCATATTGAAAATGTCTTTTTTTTCTCTTTTTCAAATAGCTAAATGAATACAAAACGGTAAAGAGATGACTAGAATAAAAATAAAATATAATTTTCATGATTTCATTATCACTACATGTCGCCATACGAGCAGCGGTAACTTGTTAAAAATGTGATAATAGGCATATAATAGCAAAAAGTGAACGTGTGATACATGATGTTGGTTGGATGAAAGGTGCATACCACAAGAGAGCATTCATATAGCACGTGTATATTCTCTGACAATATCGCGTGATGATATAAAATTCAAATCTCAATTTAATCTATTTAAAAACAAGATGGAACAAATTAAGCTGGTACTAGAATATTCTTTCGAATGAAATCACAGCATGAATAAGATTATTTTATTCATTATATTATATATGTATATAAGAAACAATTCTCTCATATTAAAAAAAAAAAAAATGTAAGTCGATCTTTTCAGTTTTAAATAAGTATATATTGAAATTCTCGAACTAATTTTAAAACCAAATATCCAATCATTTCTTGCTACAAAAAAAATTGCAAAATTAATATTGGCTTTTCTTAACGATAACAAAATGAATAATCATATCGATATTTCCTATCAATCAGTTATGCTTAATGAATGCAACATAAACCGTAACCATGCCTATGTCTCAAAGTAACTATCAAAAATCAACCTAATGACAAGATGTCTGATATCCGATATGACATAATATGATGACTACGATAGTATTCATCATTTGTTTGCAGAAGAAATACAACAAATTGATACACAATGATAATTCTTCAAACTTAAACAAGACAATTGATAATGAACAATATTGTTTGTTGAGTGTTAGAAAAAGTATATACATACAACTTGATATTTTTTATTCTTTCTTCGATCTTCAATTCCGTCCGCATATAGAGAAGATTGATGATGAGAGATGAAAGTAAATCACAAAAAAATAAAAGCTGATAATGGAAAAGAAAAGAAGAGAGTTGAGAAAAGAAAAAAGAAAATGAAAACGATTTTCAAATGCAAAATCACACCTAAAATATCAATAGGAACGATTGTTGTAATTCTTTTAAACATACTTATTGAACCGTGCGTTGCCGTGAAAGAGGGACTACCGAAATTTTGTTAGATTTATTTAAACTTATCTTTTGATAGCACATAATACATTTTAACTGGATCAAAAAACTAGTCATAATTTTGAAGAGTCAGTCTTTGTCCTAAGTTCTTTCATTTCATGATAACATATATACAACGAGATTTAAAGAAAAATTCTAATAACTCCTCGAAGTTGATGTACAATGGCTAATTTCGAAGGGATGTCGAGAATGATCGCCTTTCCCTTTGTCTCAGCAGAAAACTCCTAAAAAATGTTCTGACAAGTTTTATGAGCATAATTACTCCTTTCTTCCAAAACTCTTGATCTTCTATTGTTTCATTGTTGAAAGAACAATTCTAATTCATATCTTTTATTTTACGAGAATAAAAATATAGTTTGACGAAGTATTTGTCATTTTTGCAAGTTTTATCTTTGTAAATATTTTTTTTGTTTGATTTTGTTTTTTTGGATATTATTTGACATATGCACGAACTAAAAAAAAATCTTTCAAATGTTATTCACACTTGACACACGAACACGATTTTTTTTCTCTATGATACATTTTTCTATTCCTTTATTCGGTAATGAATGAATAAATCCGACTTGAATAAGTGAATGCAATTATCACTTTAAATCAAAGTTTTAAATGATAACCTGCTGTGCTTGATGTACGATAGAAAATTTTAATTCCTTTTTTTTTTCTGTAAGAAGAAAAAGAAATATTTTTGTCTTTTTCTCATTGTGATTTATCAACTGCGAAGAAGAGAAGAAGACAAAAAGAAAAAATTTCTCTAGGTTTTTATTGGCTCATAATTATTATTGGTCGTTTTATTTTTCTCTCTCTGTCTCTATCTCTCTCTCTCTCTTTTGCTAAATAGACATATTCTTTTTCTTTTTTTAACTTCCGTTCATTATTGTTCATCGTTTTCTCTTCATCGATTAGCACCTGTCGCATAGAGAGCGTGAACAGCACCACTATGTTAACGCCACTTGCTACTAAAGAAGACGATGAAACTAAAATTTCATCAGAATATTATTCTACACATTATACTCCACAACATCATCATTACTATTATCATCCAATACCATTTAATGATGAATCAAATAATCTTCATCATTCACAAACATCAAATCTTTATGAACCTACACAATATTATACACTTTCACCTGGATATTCTCATCCACAAACAAATACACGTATTAATGAAGACGATTCAAATAATCAAGGATCTTCATCTATTTATATGCCAATCTATCCTCATCCTCATCCTCATTCTCATCCTCACCATCGTCATCATTATTCATCTGAAGATATGTTATTTCCACAAAAAACATCCGATCAACAATCAACTTCTATATATGATTATAATTTATCTCCAATACCAACTATACAATCAAATCAAATATTTCATCAACATCCAAATTATGTTCAAACACCTATAGAACAAACAGCTTGTAGTACTAGTAATAGTGGAGATTATTTAACACCTTATGTAAGTGAATTCTCATTCTTCGTAATATTGTCATGATTCAAGCAGTTTTGCCCAACAGATTTTTTTCTCTCAATAAAATACTAGTAAAAAACAATTCAATTGGTGTAATTAGGAGATCGTGGATGGCAGGACAGCGTCTGGCCTAATCCATCCTTGGTGACCTCAAGACACCTTTTGTGTTTACTTTTCAAAATACAGCAATGTCTAATATTTTATTTTACTGTTTATGAATCTAAGCATCGACTATGTTTTTATATCATGTACAATAGTTTGAAAAGATGATAAGTGTTCTTTTTATTTCAGTCACCGTTAAATGGAGTTTGTCGATCCGATTCAATTATAGTTGAATTAGTCAATCGACCATTATGGTTAAAATTTGCTCCACATACACTTGAAAATATTATAACTAAAAGTAAATATATTATTCAATATTTTTTAAATCTAATTAAATCTAATTTTAATAGCTGGTCGTCGTATGTTTCCAACACTTGAATATAAAATATATGGATTAAAACCTGAAGCAACATATAATATGTATGTTGATATGGTTCTAGTTGATGTTAATCATTGGAAATTTAATTCTGGTAAATGGGTACCATCTGGACAAGCTGAACAATGTCAAAAAACAAGTAAAATGATATTTATATATTTTTGGTTTTTGTTTTGTTAAATAAAAGCGATTTTTAGATCATGTTTATTTACATCCGGATTCACCGAATAGTGGCGCACATTGGATGAGAAATGAAAAAATTTCATTTTCAAAATTAAAATTAACAAATAATAAACAATTACCAACAAGTCATCCACAAAATCAAGTAAGAATTTTGATTAAAATTTTCATAGAAAAATATTGTTTTGATATTTTTTTTTCAAGATGACACTTATTCTTAATTCAATGCATAAATATATGCCACGTTTAAATATTGTTGAAGTAAGTGGTCGATCATCAGATCCAACATCATCTAATAAATCAAATTCGCCACCA